AACATGACTGCTATCCAAAGTGAATTTTAAAGAATTTTTTAACATAAAATCACTGACTTATTTGGTTCTGCGCTGTTTAACTTCCATGGAGTAGTTTTGTATGGTTTCAGATATGAGTTATCTTCCACTTCTGTTACTCTAATAATTTTATTCAGTTTTTTTACAAATAATAAATGCTGTGTTGTTATGATGAAAGTATACTATATACATGTGTTGATACATTGTTAAAACTAAGGCAGCAACAGGTAAAAATTAAGTGAGATATAGCACAATATTGCATTTTAAAAAAAATCCGTAATCTTGCAGAAATTAAATTAATGTAAATTTGTATTTAAATTATAATCTTATATATTAATTAACCTTTTCATTTGCTAGACATGTTGAGTAAAATGTAATGTCAATGAGTGAAATTTTCCTCAGCTAATACCTTTTCCCTCTCTCTGCTCCTCTGTTTTAAGAGCTGGGATACAAGGGCTGAGAATATAATAACTTTCTTTCTGCTAATGGAACTCATTCCATTGATAAGAAGGATCTCGTTCTTTAAATAAATGTACAGGTAGCCCATAACTTCCAACCACAATTTGACCAGGACTTCCATTGCTAAGCAATGGAAAAACTTGTTAAGTTTTTCATGTTCGATTTTATGACCTTTTTGCCATGGCCATTAAGTGAATCACCATGATTATTAAGCAAATTTGGCTTCCTTCATTTGCTTATGAAGGTCTCTTGGAAAGGTTGTGTAGGGTGGTCATGTGACCCTGGGATGCTGTTAGTTTAAGGCTTATGAATGATTTCCCAAATGAGTATTTTTTAATTCATGTACATAAAATGAGACTAAATCTGAAGCTCAAACACGGTGAGAGAAAACCTGTGCAATATCAACATCGGTAGTAATTGTCACACCACGATTTTTAAACTATGCCGTTGTATTTTGAAAAAAAGTCAGAATAACATTTTTCAAAACAGCTAAGTTTTGCTTATGTTATAAACAAACAAGTTGTATTTTGATGGAAATTGTATAGTACATTAATGAAAAACATATGAAGTATATTCTTGAGCTTGCCACCATTTATATGGACAGGACACCAAAGAACTTAAAATGAAAAACTTACTACTTAATAATGATTTAAAGAACAATCTCATCCTGGGTATATTTTACTTGGGGAAAGTAGCGGCTGCTTATCTCTAGATGCTTTTGCAGAAAATGGATCACTGAGAAGGAATATGATCATGCTCATTACACAAAGCAAAGCTTATCATTAACATAAGTAAGGGACCTACCATGTTGCAGGCTGAAGATAATTTAGCAATTACCAGTTCTTTTCCTCCTAGCTGGAGCTCTGGTCACATTTGTTGTGGCTAGCTGGTATTTCCATAAATAAAAACCTCTAAATCAAAATCAGAGCCACCATGTACAGGATGACGGAAAAAAGTTAATTCTTCCAGCTTTTATTCTTGAAAAGAATCCAGGAATTCTAACCTAATTTCCTATTAAATTTACTAACGAACTAGCTTTTACAGTATGGAAAGCTACAGTATATCAGACAGATATTTCTAAGAATAATGCTAAGATTAAGGGAGGCATTTTTTATTTTTTTTTTGGTCCAAAGATCAGATACTGCATCAGTGACACGCGATTTAAAGATGTTAGTGGACTCAGAGAAAATTGCCTGGAAGGCATTCAAGGATGTCATTGAGAATTTTCTTGGCAATTACAGAGCACTAAACTATATTCAGCTGGTTGACAAGCATCTTATAGCATATAAGACCATGAACTACAATATGTCAGTGAAGATACATTTTCTGCATTCATGCATGGACTTCTTTCCTGAAAATCTATTTGCAGTCAGTGATGAACATGGTGAAAGTTTTCACCAGGACATTGCCACAAGGGAAAATGGACACTGAAGTAAGATGTATCAGATATTCCATAAAGCAGGTCCTACAGAGAAAAACCCCATCTCCTGGGTCCCTCAAATACCCCTTGCCATGAAAAGCTTTAAAAACAATAGGACATAAAATAAATGGGTTGGAAGGGACCTTGGAGGTTTTCTAGTGCAACCCTCTGCTCAAGAAGGATAAATGGCTGTCTAGTCTCTTTTTGAAAACTGCCAGTGATGGAGCACCCACACCTTCTGGAGATAAGCCATTCCACTAATTAATTGTTTTCCCTGTTAGAAAATTTCTCATTAGTTCTAGATTGGATCTAATGATCTTCCTCTCATTGCTTCTTGTCCTGCACTCAGAAGCTTTGCAGAATAAATCAACCCCTTCTTCTCTCCAAAGCACCTGAGGGCAGGACAAGAAGCAATGGGTGGAAGCTCATAAAAGGAAATTTCTACCTAGAACAAAGGAGAAATTTCCTGACAGGGGCAACGATTAATCAATGGAACACATTGCTTTCCAGAGTTGTGGGTTCTCCATCACTAGACGTTTTCAAGTAGACACTAGACAAACATTTGTCTGGGATGGGTATAAGGTTTCCTGCCTTGAGCAGGAAGTTTGACTAGATGATACTAGGCTCAAATAAGCCTAACTTTATCTATTTTTGCTGTTGGGTGTTCTTAATAAAGTCCAAATACCATTTTATACCAATATTCTGGTAGTAAATTGTGTTTTGACTCAGAAATTTTCTCCAAATGGACAAGATAATGGGATGAAGATGTTCTTTTGTTTTTCACTTTAACAGAAAGGAGATAGCATTTTGCTTCTTTGAGCTTTGTGAGTTAGACAGAAGAAAAGAAAACAACAGCCACAAGTCGGCAGTCCCTGCTGTATTCCTGCAGGTTGTCCTGGTTGGATCAATCAGGGCTGGTGGTAGAGAGAGCCAATAGACAGATCATTCTCACATTCTTTCTAATATTAGAGTGATCATTTTATCCTGGAAGAAATAAAGAATAAACCTGAAAAGAAGGCAAATCTGAGATGTTTCCAAGGATAAAATGTGTTTCTATTTATAACTTTCATTTACAAAGAAAATTCAAAAGCAAACCCAGGAAAAAAAATAAATCTAAAGGAGGGCTTTCTGAAATAGTATATATATAATATACTTCTATACCTATAAAACTATATGTCCCATGATAAAGGACGTGTGGTCACTATAGGTAACTACAGATATCACATTTTTTGGAGTATAAGATGTACTTTTTCCCCTCAAAAAAGTGGCTGAAAATCTGGGTGCATCTTATACACTGAATACAGCATTTTTTGCCTCCTGAAATCCCACCCCCTTCACCAAAATGGCCCTGCATAGCCTTTAGGAGGCTTATAGTGTGCTCCTGGGGGGGTGGGGGGTGGGGAGGGTAGAAAGGAGCAAAAAACGGGCTGTAAAAAAGGAGCATTCTACAAGCCTCCTAAAGGCTATGCAGGCCCTTTTTGGGGGGGGGAAACAGGACAGTTTTTGCAAAAAATGGGTCATTTTTGGGAGGTCTGCAGAGTACAAAAACTTTTTTTTAAATTTGCTGCTTCAAAATCTTGGTGCATCTTATACTCCGGTGCGTCTTATACTCTGAAAAATATGGTACATGTGAAAGATGGAGTTTGTATACTTGGAATAGAACCATTATATAAAAATGGGTCTGTTGTACTATAGTGAGAAATGGCTGTATTGTACAAAAATGGCATGAGTCAAGAAGCTCAGGGTTTAAGCCCTGGAGCAGCACTTACATTCATTCATTCATTCATTCATTCATTCATTCATTCATTCATTCATTGTGCATTATGGTCAAACATTTTCACTTTGGTCTTATCTATCCAAAGGACAGTGTTACAAAAGTCTTCCAATTTGTTCAGATGCAACTTTGAAAATCTAAACTATGCTGCCGTATTCTTTTTAGAGAGAAGATACCTTCTCCCGGCAACCCTTCCAAACAAACCATATTTATCCAGTCTTTCTCTAATTATATTATGAACCTTAATGTTTAACATACTAACTGAGGTTTATAGAGTCTGAGATACAGTAAAACTCTTACAATTTTCCTGAGCATTCCAGGTTCTGGGTGAATTTTCTGGGACAGCCATTCCTGGGAATGTTGGCAACTGTGTTTAATGTTTTCCATTTGTGAATAATATTCCTCACTGCAGAATGATGGATTTTAAATTGTTTGGAAATATAACCGTTCCCAGATTGATAACAGTTGCTTCTCTAAGATCATTGCTAATGTGTCCTTTTTCACTTAATTTTTGTTAAATAAGTTATGTAATATGTCATGTGTTTATCTGAGGTTGTATTTATCTATTTTTAATCATTGCTAAGTAATTTTACTTTTTTAAATTTTTATTTATTTTGTCAAGCATGTATAAGATAACAAATATAAGTATGAACATGATTATGAACACAGGAAATGGATATGAATAAGTGGGGACAGTGGGACAGGGATGGTAGGCACGTTGGTAGCATCCCATGGTCATGTGATTTACATTTGGATCCTTGACAACTGACTCACAGTTATGATGGAGTCATGTGATCCCCTTTTGTGACATTCTCACAAGCAAAATCAATGTGGAAACCAGATTCACTTAACAGCTGTGTTACTCTAATATAACAATTACTGTGATTCAGTTAACAAATGTGGCAAGAAAAATCATAAAATAGGGCAAAATTTCTCATTTAACAACATAAATTTTGGCTCAATTGTCATAAGTTGAGTACTACCTGTTTAGACAGTCAAGTTTATTTCTTTAAATTGCTTCCCTTAGCCTATGTTTTGTTCCACATATTCTGGACATTCAGCTGTAGTAGAAATCATGTTAAGCTTCTCCTCCTGTAACTTCCTTAAAAAAATGAAACTCAAAACAACAAAAGGCTTGATGTACTCAGTAATACATAGCATCTCTACTGTAAACAATGCTTAATGTGCCTGCTGTGTAGTTCCAACATTATGTAAATTATAAATTAAGTTCCCTAAGTATTCTAGTGTTTATTATTTATTGATCTGTACATTTTTCTTTGTGAAATTCAAATAAAGTGACAGTACTTATTTATTTCAATTTCTTTTCAGAAATCCTAAAGCAACTAGTCAAAGAATAAATAAGAAGGTCAACAATGATGCATCACTTCGAATTCAAAATTTGTCTATTTTAATAAGACAAATTAAATCATATTATCAGGTGTGTGATTTATTTCCTTTAAAACATGTTTGAAACATATTTAAATCCACTTATCTGTCCTGGAAGAAGGGACAATGACTGGACAGCTAAAGCTTGTCATAGTATAAATGGTTAATAATTAATTACATTGATTGTAATATTGAAGTCGTTTTAGAAAATTTCAGGGATAGAGGGCCAATCAGATATATCATTAAGAACTAGAGTTTACTTCCTCCCCGCTCCCAACTCCATCTTTTTCTGTTACTTGTTTTAGATTATATGCCTGAGAGCAAGATCATTTTTTACTGCTTTTTGCTCAAGCCCATGTTGAATTTATGAACCGAAGAGGAGCAAAGGTGGGCTGTTGGGGGTTCACAGGGGTTTGGGAGAACCTCTAGCTAAGATTCTGTACAGTTTGGAGAATCCCCAAATCCCACTCCTGGCTGGGCAGAGAACCCCTTGCTAAAATGTTTGAAGCTCACCCCTGAGAATAGCATAAAATAGAGTTTTTGGTTCTTCAATCAATTTATTTTATTTTTTCAATTTATATGATCATGCAATTCAAAATGCTTTTAATAAATTTAAAAACAAAGGTAAAAACACCAAAAAAAGAATGTGCTAATTATGACTAACTTTCATCTCTATGAAACATCTTTCAAAGCTTGGCTCAGTATCTTGGCCCAGTAGCCTCATGAGCAGCCATATCTTCAATGCCTATATTATATCATATGTAACTGTGCCACACATAATTGAGTGTGTATTCAAATAGACATTATAGCTGTGGCAAGCAAAGCCATATTTGCTGGCACGGCAGCTCTCAGCTCTGGCACACTGACCAGCTGATTTTCAGCCTTCCAGAGGGCTGGGGAGGCCGTTTTGGTTCTCCCCAGGCTATGGAGGCTTTTCTGAAGCCTAGGGAGGGTGAAAACGGCCCTGCCTCTGGGGGTGGACGTTTTCACCCTCCCCAGGCTTCAGGAAAGCCCCCGGAACCTGGCTCACACAGATGGGGTCGCTCGCATATGTGCATGTGCACACAGTTTTGACACACCTTTAGAAAAAGGTTAGCCATCATTGCATTATAGTGTTTACAGTACCTATATGTGTACTAAAACAGTCCTGATTCTCTTGCAGCCCTCCAGTACATTACTTGGTGGTAGAAAATAAATGAACATGGCAGTCATTAAGCAAACATCATGGTTGTTAAATGAACCCATTGTTCATTATAGACTGGGTTTTTTTTGGAAACCGGAAGTAAACACCGATTTCTGTCAAAAATATAATATAAATTACAGTCACATGATAGAAAAGCGCTGCGAACAGTTATAAATTGGGTTTGTTGCCAAGTGCCCAAAATGCAGTCACTTGACTGGAGGAACCAAAGTTGGAACTTCAAAGTCAGGTTGCAAGTAACTTTTTTGAATCGTCCATCAGAACTTTGACTGGTAATAAATTGAGAACTATTTGTATTCTTGTCTCTCAGATCTGTATAGTCACCACTTTTTTTTCTTCGTTATCCAGATGTTGAGGGAATGCATGGCAACTTTAAAGAATTAGATTATTCTTTTTCCTCTTATAAGAACTATTAGTGTCTAGTAGTGATATAATTTATTAGGGCAACCTTCAGGAAATAATTTGCAGAATAGATTGTTGCCTTTTTAAAGGATATTTGGCAGTTCTCAGATATGATACTATTTAGTTGCAACCCACTTTTATTCAGTTTCAATCCTGAATAACTTAGTACAGCATCATCTTTGCATGTCAGCTTCACAGGTTTTTACATTCTCATAGTCAGTGTAGGAAATTATTTTATAGACATGGTAAAAAGGTTTAAAAATACAAGATGTAGTTCTCTTTGTAAGCAAAATGATATTGAAAAATTGCCTGTTCCTAGTTGTTGTGGACAGTCAGTATTCCTAATATACCTAGCATTTAATTAGTCTTCTTTCTTAAGGTAAGACATTTCACAATATTGAGAAAAATCAGTATGCTTGCTACATAACCATTAATTTAATGCATCTTAGGAATCTACATATAGAAGGAAAACTTAAAACACCTATATACCCTGAAGACTTAGCCTATATATGGTTTTAATTCATTACAATTAACGTATTTATTTACTTGAATTTAAATTAAATTAGCTATGGAAATTTGGGTATTTATCATTCTCTCAAATAATTATTTAATATCAATATGCTTGAAATAAGTTACAAATATTAATACATGTATACCTGTTAATAAACAAGAATCTTTAGTAGTAGAAAAAAATGACAATTACAAATTGTTTTCACCTCATTCCCAGTATCATTGCTCTGTACAAATAAAAAAAAATATTTCTAAAGTCCTTAAAGAGGAACTTATTTCTAATATTGCTCATTTAAACTTCTGACATAGGTTGTTTTGAATATGTATGTTCCCTAACATTAACATTCCTTAACATTCCTTAATAGTTATTCTAGATTTTCTTGTTTTAACATTAATTTTCTATGTGACATAAACAATAACATGATCATAAAAATGTCCAAAAGTCTTAAGAAAGAAAACTAATTAAATGTTGGGTATATTAGGAATATTGACTGTCCACAACAACTAGGAACAGGCAATTTTTCAATTTCATTTTCCTTACAATAAAGGCAGAAACAATATATCAATTGTTTGATAGAAAAAAGAACATCAATTTATAAGAAGAATATTTGCAGAACAAAAAGGATAAGTAAAATATTCTAGGCCTTTCATCTTTTACAAAAAGTAAAACCTGAACCATTTAAGTACCATGAAGTAAAGTTATGGTTTCTTGAAATTAATTCAATATTACACTTGTAAATAAGGGATAATTTTGTTGCTTATTTTAATATAGTCAATTAAGGTCAGAAACATATAGAAAGTTCAGCCTCGGTATAAGTGTTATAAAAGTTATAAAAGTTACAAAAGTTAAATCTTCTTCCACAGGAGACATTGCAGCAATTGATCATGATGCCTTTGCCAAATGTTTTAATAATTGGAAAAAATCCCTTTTCAGGTAAGCATTGCATCTAGTTTAAAATACTGTAATGTGTAATTCTTATTTGTTGAAGTTGGCAAGAAAATAATAGTTATTCTCACGTTGGGGAGGAATATTATGTAAATAGATCTTACATCTATTAGATCGTAGATCTTTTTTTATCACCTTTAAAATAATAGCTAATTATGTTTTGATTCAGAAAAAGAGGAAAAGCTTTGAATATAAATCCTGTAGTATATATAAGATATATGATATATACCTATATATATGGTTCTATTGCCCTGCTTTGGAGAAGCTGTGCTTTATTATTGTTTGTAGTAAATTTATAATGTTATATCTGTGATCTTATTAGATGTAAATAGGTTTCTGAATATGGAATTAAATAGTCAAGAATTATTTCTGTGCCTGCCCTGAATCTGGCAATCACAAATATTTATTAGTAATATTGTATAATACTGTCAAATGTTTTTTGACTTTACATGCATTGTATATTTGTACAGGTAGTCCTCACTTAACAACCATTTGTTCAGAAACTATTCAAAATTATGATGGTGCTGAACAAAAGAATTTATGACCCATACCCAAACCTAGGGCTATTGCAGCGCTCCTATGGCCAAGGGATTGCAATCTGGGTACTTGGCAACCTGTTGATACTTAAGACAGGTTGCTAAGCACCCCGCAAACATGTGATTGCCATGGACACTCTTCCCGGATGACTTCCCTAGAAAGTCAATGGAGAAGCAGGGAATATCGCAAGCTGCTGCCACCTGCTGAAAAGACTTCCTTTGGTTCTTGGGAGTTGGCTGAAAAAGAGCAATCATGAAATCCAAGCAGGAAATCCTGCTTCAATTTTTGGAGAGACTTTCATACTAATAGCTGCCTTGAGAGGAAAACCCCTGCTTGGCAGAGAGAATCCGCCTCACATGGGGCAAAATCAATCCGTCAGACAGTTCTTTTGTTCTCAACGTGGTTGGATGAATAAAGTTCCCCAAAAAGGTCCCACACAAAACATTTCTCTTGTTTTTAATGTGGAACTGAATTTGGGTAAGAATTAACTATTCATGGATTACAAAATAGTGTGCAGAGCAACTCCAGAAAGAATATTTTGATTATTTAATCTAAATAATAAATATAGTAAATATAGAAAACTGGAATATTTATTTTATACAGATAACCCTCAATTTACCACAGTTCATTTAGTGACCGTTCAAAGTTTACAACGCCACTGAAAAAAGTGACTTAAGACTGTTTTTTACACTTACAATCGTTGGAATAATCCCATGGCCCTGTGATCCAAATTCAGGCACTTGGCAACTGACTCGTATTTATGACAGTTATAGTGTCCTGGGGTCATATGATTACCTTTTGTGATCTTCTGACAAGTAAAGTCAATGGGGAAGCCAGATTCATTTAACAACCATGTTACTAACTTAATAACTGCAGTGATTCACTTAACTGTGACAAGAAAGGTCATAAAATGGGGTAAAATTCACTTAACTGTCTCACTTAGCAACAGAAATGTTTAGCTCTATTGTGGTTGTAAGTTGAGGACTACCTGTATTCTGCCCATTGATTGTAGCTTATTCTCCAACTTCTCTCACATCATATTGCAATAGCAGCCATATGTCTGCTAAACCACTGCTAACCCAAAAGCCTATAGTGTGGGAAAGGGAAACAGAATATGTTCAATATTACTGAAAATGTAAACCAGTATATTATTTTAAAATATTTTTAAAAATATTTTCAGAACAAGGCACTGAAGAAGTAAAAAAACTCCTTCTACTTCTCCTTGGTTGTGCTGTTCAGGTAAGGTCTGCTAATTTTTAAAACTACTTAGAATGTTTATTTGAGTGACACTTATCTTCCTAGTCTTATATATAATTAAACAGTTAGAGTTAGTGTATATTATAAGGAAGGTAGTCTGAGTGAAGGGGCTAAAACACTTTTGATAGATAATCTCAATAAAAATAGTTTAGCATTTCTGTGGCATTGATTTCCTCATATGGAAGGGATTGACATTTATACCCTCTAAATCAGGGGTAGAAAATGTGTATCATTCAGCAGAACCAGCCAGTATTGCCAGTAAGCAAAAAGCCTTTATGTACCCTGAGAGCATATGTACCAAAGACAAGTTCCTTGTGTGTCCAATCACACTTGGCCAATAAAGAAAAAAATTCTAAAAAATTCTAAAAAAAAAAAAAAAGAATGTGAAAGTTATAATTTAGCAACACTTTAATGGTCTCACATTTCCCATTCCTGTTCTAAATAAACGTCTTCAAGTAAATTAAAGATAGACCCTTCAATAAAAGATGTAGAAATGAGTTTTTGGAATCAAAGCTTAATAAATGAGAATATATGCAGTACAGTAGAAACTTTTAAAATAGATCACTGTTTTAATCTAGCAGACAGCCATGATGGCTGGTATTTATTGGGAGTAGGAAGACAATATGACAAATTTAAAGGAGTTGAAAAAGTACAATGCATGATCAGGGATAAATAAATCACAATCTTCCTGTAAATATTTATTTTATGCTGATGTGTGTTTATTAAGTATTTCAGGTGTATTACATTAAGGAAAAGCAGAAGGATGTTGTTTTATTTTGTTTAGCTGCCTATAGAGTAAATACTAATTAAAATTTATATTTAGTGCCAGAAGAAAGAAGAATTCATTGAAAGAATACAGAGTTTAGATTTTGATGTAAGAGCAGCTGTTGCTGCCCATATACAAGAGGTAAATATTTTGTTTATTATTACAAAATCCTAATTTATTAAAAATATTTAAAAAGCAGTCTTCATAATAATTTATTCTGCAGAATGTTTATTGTATTTGAAAGAATTATATAGGCACTTAAATGAAAAAGATCAGCCATTGCTTCTCATAGGATTGATGAGCTTATGCAAGGAGCCAAAGACATGAAGCCATGGAGAAGCCATTGAAAAGTTGTTAAGGCAACAACTGTAGAAATATGCATTAAGCTCAGTTACTTGTTTTAGAAAGATCAAACTGGCTCGCCTCTGACTTTCACAGGTATAAATGGAAGAGAGGGGAAAACATAGGCCTACTTACAAGATTCTGATACTTTGGCCTATCTCAATAAAGTATAGTTATAGCCTTCCTCTGGAGCTCCTGCTTCATATGATTGGTGCATTATTAGAACAATCCATCTCCTGGATCTGATTGTTTAGTTTTTGTGGGATTCTCCTGTTGATTTGGATGTCATCCTATTATTTCAGCAGTTGATTTATGGAAATCATAGATTATATATCAATAAAACTGTATCTGGATGTCATGTTCTCAGAAAGCCAAACTGATTCTTTAAATGTAGAAAATTGTACATTATTTGAATTCTTAGTATGAAATCCAACAGTTGGTATGTATCTTGAAATATTAAATATGTTAGATCAAGTCTGAGAAGTTGGAGTTAATTATAATGAGGTATTGAGTAGCACTGCTTCAGTCTTATTTGATAAGAAGGTATCATCAGGAATAGTCTTGTCAGTATATTGTTAAATTGGAACAAGAAAGAATGGTGTCAGAGGCTTAAACGACAGAATTAACAGTGGTCCATTTAACTGAGGAAAGATGAAAGAAGCTAGATATGTTTTCACCTGAAGAGAAGATTGAAAGAGGTAAATTAACAATATTTTCTTTATTTTAAAGTTCTGTGTACAAAGATGTTAGTTGAAACAATTTCTTAAAAGGATTAAATGTAAACAAAGCATATCTGCATTGTCCATTATGAATCTCATTCAAAACTAATGAAAATTCAGTTTCTATGGTAACTCAAAAGTAATTTCACAAAAATAAGCAATTATGTAACTAAAACTAAATCTCATGAAATTCAATAGGACAGCAATTCTATAAGGCAACAAATCAATTTAGGAATTACTTTTTCTGGCATAGAGTAGAGCAGACTAGAATAGAATTTGAATAGAATAGAAGAGAAGAGTTGGAAGGGACCTTGGAGGTCTTCTAGTCAAATCCTCTGCTTAGGCAGGAAACCCTACACCACTTCAGACAAATGGTTATCCAACATTTTCTTTAAAACTTCCTGTGTTGGAGCATTCACAACTTCTGGAGGCAAGTTGTTCCACTGATTAATTGTTCTCTCAGGAAATTTTTCCTCAGTTCTAAGTTGCTTCTCTCCTTGATTATTTTCCACCCATTGCTTCTTGTCCTACCCTCAGGTGCTTTGGAGAATAGCTTGACTTCCTCTTCTTTGTGGCAACCCCTGAGATATCAGAACACTGCTATCATGTCTCCTCTAGTCCTTCTTTTCATTAAACTAGACAAAGGTTCCTGCAAGCATTCTTCATATGTTTTAGCATCCAGTCCCCTAATCATCTTTGTTGCTCTTCTCTGTACTCTTTCTAGAGTCCCAAGCATCTTTTTAATATTGTGGCAAGCAAAACTGAATGCAATATTCCAAGTGTGGTCTTACCAAGGCATTATAAAGTGGTATTAACACTTCACGTAATCTTAATTCTATCCCTCTGTTTATGCAGCCTAGAACTGTGTTGACTTTTTTGGCAACTGCTGCACACTGCTGGGTCATATTTAAATGGTTGTCCACTAGGACTCCAAGTTCCCTCTCACAGTTACTACTATTGAGCAATATACCATATATATTGTACCTGTGCATTCTGTTTTTCTTACCTTAATGTAGAACCTTACTTTTTTCACCATTGAATTTCATTTTGTTAGATAGCGCCCAATGTTCAAGTCTGTCAAGATCCTTCTGTATCTTAAGTCTAACTTCTGGAGTGTTGGTTATTCCTGCCAGCTTGGTGTCATCTGAGTTCCCCATCTATCCCCCTATCTGAGTCATTGATTAAGATGTTGAATATGGTCCTGTTTGAAATTCAGTTAGCTAAGATTCAGTTAGCTAGATAAGCCCATATAATTCTATTATATCAATTTAAAATACATTAAAAGAAGAAAGATTGAAAGGAATAGGCAATACACTTTACAATCTGCAGAAAAAAAGCCAATTTGATGTAGTGGTTAAGGCACCAGGCTAGAAACCAGGAGACTGAGTTCCAATCCTGCCTGAGGCATAAAAACTGGCTGGGTGACTGAGCCTCTCTTTTTCAGTCAACCAACTTTAAAGGGTTGTTGTGATGGAGAAAATAGGAAGAGGAAGGATTAAAGTATGTTCACCACTTTAAGCTATTTATAAAAAAAACAATAAATTTGGGATAGAAATAAATAAATAGATTAATGATGTATGTGCTAGTTGTGGCTGTATGGAAGATCATAAAACATAGTACAAAGACAACATTAGATTAAACAAGAATAATTTTATCCCTTATTGGTATATGAACTTTCTGTTTATGCATAGAGGTAAGGAAGATAACATGCCAGAAATGAGCTCTTTGAAGGAAATATGAAAATAAAAATGTATATATTTTAGTATTGTGTTTCCCCGAAAATAAAGGCAGGGTCTTATTTTCTTTTGACCCCCGAAATAAGGACTTGGCATTATTTTTGGGGAGGTCTTATTATTTTTGAGGTGCAGGAGGCGGCGAGTGTGGTCATCTCATGGCTGCTGCTGTGATGTAATATTTTCAGGTAGGGCTTATTTTCAGGGGAAGGGCTTATTTTAATGCATGTGCTCAAAAGCCCGATTGGGCTTATTATCCAGGGAAGTTTTATTTTCAGGGAAATAGGGTAGTATATTACAATTTTAGCATTTTCCAAACAGAAATAGAACACTCTATAATAATTGAAAACAATTATTAAAAATAATTATCCAGTACTTATTGTTTGCATTTTAATGTCTACAGGATTAAGATATGACTTCAAATGCATAGGCTGTTTTTCCCTAGCAAAGTGAGTTGGAAGAGAAATTAGAGAAATCATTAGTAGATGTGAGTTAATTTCTAATTAGAGAGAAGACAAGGAAAAAATACAATTTTAGAAAAGATTAAGATAAATGATAACCTTCAAAGTTAAATTGCAGAATATTTCTAAAATAAATTAAAATGCACATAATTTGTTCATTAAAACAAGCTTGAATTCCAATTTCTTTTCACATTTAGTTATACTTAATTAGTCCAAATTTAGCAATCTAATTATTTAAATACAATAGTTTTACATCATTGTTATTTATTCTTTGTAGGTAACCCATAATCAGGAAAATGTGTTTGATCTCCAGTGGATGGATGATAGTGCTCTGGCACAAGATTATATTGAACCTCTCCTAAAAAACATGGCATTACATTTAAAACGACTTATAGATGAGCGAGATGAGCATTCTGAGGTATTAACAGCATTTTAAAATTTTTATTATTTAGGATTTTGTTGATTAGCAATGAAATGAAATAGTTAAGTATGAAATAACATAGTTAACTAACAATTTGCAAAATCTGAAGGGTTCTACTTCCATATACTTAACTGATTTTATTTTTATGTCAGACTATCATAGAGCTTTCTGAAGAACGAGACTCTCTTCATTTTCTACCTCATGCATCAGCAGCACAATCACCTTGTGGATCTCCAGGAATGAAATGCACTGAAAGCAGACAACACTTATCAGTGGAATTAGCAGATGCCAAAGCAAAGATTAGAAGGCTTAGACAAGAGCTGTAAGTACATAATAAATAATAATTATTAGAACTGGTAAACCAGGAATCTCCAAGGGCAGTTTCCCTCCTGCAAGGAAGCATTTGTTCCTTAGATCTAGCAAGTAGATTTTCTCCAGCTTGGATTGCCTTTATTTTGTAATAGCTAAATATTTGTAAGGTCTTAACAAAACTGTCAAGATGCAGCAGATTAATTCTTTCCTTTAGAAACAGAATTTGTATGCTTGGCTTTTTGCACCTTCTACTTTTGTAATAGTTATGAAATAAAATTTAGCCTGAAATAAGATTTAAGTTATTAGGAACTTGGTACAGGTTGTCCTCTATTTACAATCATAATTGAGTCTAGAATAAATTATTGCAGTCGTAAGTCCAGCTTGATTTTACCACTGCTTTTACAGTGGTCTGTGGTTGTAAGGCAGAATTCAGTTTATCCAGTGGAAAATGGCAAAAAAATTGCAAACCATAGATCATTGCAACTAGTTACTAGTCGGTTGCCAAGTACCCAAAATGAAATTACATGATTGTGGTGGTGGTGTAACTTAAGATATGTAATAATCATAGCTTTGAACAGATGTTAAGGATGGACTTAAGTTGTGGGCTATCTATAAACTGTCATTGACGAGTATATTCATTGTCTTAAACTTTAAAAAAAATAAAAACACAGGGGGTTATTATTAAACATTACCAAATTGAAGTAGTCTGAAATTCATGTTTTATAAACAATTTTTCATAATCTTACTCATGTATAATTTTTCAATATACCTGTTAATTTTATTTGGAAACACTGTAAGTGAACATTTTTAAAAAGACTTGAAATGTAAGTATTCTGTGGAATGAATAAAATTAAGAATAAAAGTGATGAAATGAGATGGAATGAGGCTGAAAGAAGATAATGCCAGAAGGATTATTTTAATATTTGTATAGAAAAAATAGTTTTATGTTAAGGAGTAGAATTAAACAATTCCTTTCCAAGAAACGGAAAATCATTTATTACTGTGAGAATGTTAAAAAATAACAAGGCTATGGGTATTCAAGAAGGCGTGACTAGAGAAATATTAAAATATGGATGTTGTTTGCTTATGAAATAATTATGTGATTTTTTCACATGTTTTATGTGCTAAATATGTAGAAGATATATTATTCTTTATTGAGATAATTTGCAAATGAAGAATATAAAAATATAGATAATAATAGCTAATGAGAACAGAAATTATAGCTACAAAAATATAAGGCTGAGATTAACAGAGCAACTATGTAGAATAAGGTATAAATGTAGGAATAAAAAATAAAATAATGGAAATAGGCATAGACCTTAGCTCTAATGATAATTAAAAAACCATAACAACATTAGTAAAATAAAATAAAAATTGTAAAAAAAAAAACCTTCTCCCAAAAGGAATAAAATTGTTGGTTGTGATCTGTGTCTTCTGATAAAAATACATATGACAATAAGGATGTGTGATGTCTCCTTTGATATGCCTAGGTTAGAGGTGTGTTGACTGGGAATATGAGTGTGTATTTTTATATGCAGTTTCTGCTGTTTGCTGAGGTCCCAGATGATTTGCAGTGAACAATAAATATATGGTGCAGTTTGGAATGTTGACTTGAAAATTAGCATATTGAATGCCAATATAGTCAGATTTGATATGGAAAATGAAGTGGACAATTCTAAATTGTACATAAATGGTTAAAAAACAGAACACATAATTGAATTAATGCACTTTGTGTGGGCTCTCTTACTAGTTAGTAACTGTTTTAGATTAAGCAAATGATTATAGCAAGAAGAGGCCTACCACCCAAGTATGTGTATATTTGTTGTAAAATACATATGTGCACACTCCCTTTTAGAGATTTTGGATTTCTTATGGATTACTGCTGTATAAGCATACATTTAATTTCAAAAGGTTAAAATAGCTTAGAAGTAAATCTGAAGGGACAGGTTTTAAAAGCATTTTTATTATAAATGTAAATAAAAATAGGTATACCATAATTTCCCTGTTCTTCTTCTACCTATAACTGAACATCTATGCACATTCAGTACCGTATTTTCCTGAAAATAAGTCAGGGTCTTATTTTCTTTTTACCCACAAATATGGCTTGGGCCTTATTATCAGGGGAGGGCTTATTGTTTTGGGATTGCTGGGTAGCTGCTCTCTTGCGAGCGGGCTTCCAAAGAGCCAGGCACAACCTCAGGGGCGAACGACTTGAAAATTCTAGTGAATGGCGCTCTGCACAGGTGGAGAGGGGGATTGCGCAAGCGGCTGTTCTGCTCCCGCTTGTGCGCCTCCCAGCCTCACGATGCTCTGGCCCAGCTGTCCCTGCAGCCCCCCCAGCTGTGAGCCAGCTGCTGGCAGAGCGTACTCCCAGAGTGTACACCCTTAGAGCGTAAGGGTGGAAGCCGCTGAAAAAGCCATGCTGGGATGGTGGCAGCGGCAGCGGAGGTGCTCTGGCTCTGCAGGGAGAGCTGGGCCAGGGCATCATGAGGCTGGGAGGCACACGAGCGGGAGCAGAACAGCCGCTTGCGCAATCCCTCTCTCCAGCCATGCAGAGCGCCATTCACTGGCATTTCGAAGGTGCCAAGCTGCGAGAGCTGGGCGGCGGTAAACAGGCACTCACACGGCTTGACAATACCCCATGGTCAGTGAATGGCACTGTGCCCGACCGTAAAGGGGGTTTGCTGGGGGACTGCTTGTGAGCGTAGTTGCTTCATGGCTGTTCACCCCTGAGGCTGTGCCTGGCTCTTTGGGAGCCCACTCGCAAGAGAGCAGCCACCCAGCAACCTCCCTCTTCAGCTGGCTCAGAACCTAGAGTATCCTGAAGGTGCCAAGCAACACGATCACCTTCGCCCCTCCACCCCGGGTTCCCATGGCTTGGCACCTTCGGGATACCGCTAGGTTGGTGAGCGGCGCTCTGCCTGGCTGGAGATGGGGGTTGTCCAGTGGGGTTATTTGCGGGGGAAGGCTTATATTTTTGCCCACCAGAAAAATGTGGCAAGGCCTTTGTTTCAGACAGGTCGTATTTTCGGGGAAACACAATAATTTCTGTTTGTACGCTTGTTAAGTGGTACTTCTGGTGTGGGTATAGGTAAAACAACTATGTAGAGTATTTCTGAAATATTCTATGTAGAATATTTGTAACTTTGTAACTTGTAAACTTTACAAGTAATACAAGACTACTGTTTAATATCATTTGTTGTAGTTAAAGTAGTATTGTGTTTTGCCAATGGAATTATTTACAAATGCATGCCAGCTAGCGGAATATGTTTCAGACGTTGTTGGGGATACCTACTCATTCTTCTACATGACTATAGATTTTTTTTCTTTTTACCACCATGTAATCCTTTTTATCAGCGTGGAGTAGGGGTGAATGAATGAAGATGAGCATTTACTGGCCAGATGCCCTTCCTGACATTATGCGGAGTTTGTAGCAGATATTTTCTCTTTGCGCCCTGGTAGAGAAACATCTGTCCCTGCCTAGGATTGAATTTTCAGCCCTTCCCAGTGGGAGGCAAGCTTCTTCATCTCTAGGCTACCGTGCCACTCAATGGCTTTGTATACATGTAACAATATATTTGTATACTATCAAAAACAGTACTTAAAAAAAAATGGGAGAAAAATTGTGAGTTCCCATGAGTTCCATATGCTACAGATATGTTTGCCATTAACAGTTGGAGAGTGTCCGTTTGTACGAGTGCCTAAGGTTACTCGGTGATTATAAATGGTGCTAATGTCCATATCAGTAAAATTCCTGAAGAGTGTGCAATTCACACAAATACTTGTTTGTACATTAACTTTTTAAATATAATCCAAGACTATAAGTTTCATTATTATCAAAGTTGTGTCCTAATTTTGATTTGATAATACAATGTATATTGAGGTTTCTAAATCTCTGGCAAATTAATTACACAGTCATGTGAAATAGGAATTTAGCATACAAGTTTCAGAATCATTGTTAAATTCAGTCTAGCAATGAAATGACTTTAAGATTGCCACCTGTTCTCTGTCTGAAAGGCCTGTTTCCAATCCTTAGCTGCAATTGTGCATGTGAAATGCTTTAAGCATTAGATAAATGCTGCAAAGTTTCTGGCTAATTAAGCCATTATGGTGCTTGCTGAATGAATAATACAACAGAGGTGAAGAGTCTTAACGTATGCTTGTCCTCTAATACTAAGGTCACATTTTCTATATTTGTTCTGGACACAGAATGGCATAGTAATTTATGGTAATAAGGTTTTTCCGTTGTAATTTCCTGTCAAAATTTGATGCTGAGAAACATTTCTAGGCCCCTTGAAATTTCAAAGCTCTTCCTTAGGTGCATTTTATTATTTTACTTGGATATTATTTGACATGTTTCATTATTAGAATTGTACTGAACTGCAGTATGGTAGGTTGGGCTTCAAATATTGTTTTGGGAAGAGAGGAGCATTTATATGTAGAGCCAGCAGCTCCATCCCACACGCATACAGACAAAGACCAACAGACTATTACAAGAGAGTTTTAACTGGATCATCTAAAATGGGCAAAGTATATCATTATGTCTATTTAATTTCTTTTTTATTTGAACAGAATATAATGTTTTTTAAAAACTTAGTCATGATGAGTACAAAAATACAAAAAATGATACCATTTTTGATGACTCAGATATTGGGTGTTTGTTGAAATGAGCCTAGCCAAGATATTCTCTAAACAGCTGCACTAGGGAAGTTAATGCAAATTGCTGTTATTAATTTGACTGACATATAATAGCCTAAATAGTGAACATTGGTGTAGAATGTATAATTAAAAACAATCCCATTACTCTTAACTGAATAGCTCTTTGGAAGTGTATATATTTCTGAGAATATTTTTACATTTTACCAATGTTTTATTTATTTACAAATAACATTTTTGCCTATAAAATGCTAATATCTTTTAATGATTGTCAGTAGCATCCAATGTGCTGGTATGCTAAAGTAATTCCCATTAGTTCTATACATTTTAAATAACATTACACTTAAATTAGATACAAAGCATGGTGGTTGAGTAAATACTTATGAGAAGCTGTGGTTTGACATAAGAACTGTCATTATTTAAAACAGGCCCTACATTGAAAAGTTCATTAATTCCAGCTTTGATATTATGCATAAAATACATGCTGTGCAATAGATGTATACATATAAAATGGTTGAATATTTTTATATTTGGAACTTATATTTTTATAATTTTAAAATGAAAGAAACATTTTTGACTGAACATTTCTATAATTTCTGATTTAAATAGGATGTCTTGCAGATAAACACATTTGCTGTTATGAACATATTTCAGTTAACCTGATTAAAATCAAACACATATTAACCTATGGGAATTCAGTTTTAATAATCAGATTTCTTTGAGGAGAACAGTGAATAATAATCCCACCAACCAGTTTAAGGTTCTCAGAAAGAAAAATCTGAGTGATAAAGTAATATTCTCTTGGGGGAAAATGTGTTTCCCTTAATCTGAAGATTTTTGTTTTAGAGAAATAACACAAATTCTTATCCATATGTTGTCTATTCCATACTCTACATTCACATATGCAATACTGCTGTTTGTGCTGCATTATTTTTTTCTGAAAAAAATCTCAGTCAGATGATTTTGTAGGGAGGATTGAAGTGGATTACTTGATAATAATCAGATGTCTTGCTTTATATGAAAGCACTGTTTTTCAATATAATCTATCTGTTGTATTCAGGTACTATTTGAGAAATATTAAAATCTATGCCTATTTAATCTCCTTACTGACAGATTGAACTCCCACTGGAAATAAAAATAGGTTATTTCCTCTGTCTTTCCAGCTACCTACCTACCTCTCTATCTTAGTCTTATGTAAGGGGAAGAAATGAGAGTTCATAAATGTAAGTTAATTGGCTTGATTTTGGACTTCGCTTGATCACTTTAATGTCAGATTACTCTAAAAGTATTTGGATAATGTTTGTCCTCCCCATGTTAAGTTATACACAGAAAGCTGTGATAACAAAATGTGCTGCTGATGTTATTCATTCAGTAATTGTCTAACTCTTGGTTATTCTGCGGGCCAGGTCTCTTGACACCTTTCCATCTTGCGCTACTTTGAATTTTTCTACGATCTGGCTGGTATCAGTTTTGATGTTGTTTAGCCAGCTTGTTCTTTGACTGCTTGGTTTCCTCTTACCGCTATCTTTTCCAAACATATTTGCTTTCTCTAATGAATTCCTCCTCATGACATGGCCAAAGTAAGAGAGGTGCAAAATAAATCTCTCCATAGATAGTAAGTGATTGAGTTTTGAGATTTTGCATTCCAATGATAGGTCTGGCATTATGCATTCCAGTACTTGCTTGTTAGTTACCAAGAAATATGCAGAAGTCTTCTCTAACACCATGAGTTGATTTTCTCCCTGTCTTGCTTTTTTAAGGTCCAACTTTCACAATAGCTAACTACAAGGAACACAATAGAGCAGATTAACTTACATTTGGTTGCTGATGTCCTTGCTTTTCCATATTCAGCTTCATTTATCATTGCTATATGATCCAGTGCAATCTGACATTTTATTTTGGGATTATATTCACTGCTTTGAGCGATCTGCAATCCTAGGAAAGTGAATTCTTCCATGCATTTTATCTCTTCACAGTCACTGTCTATTTTCATGTTTCTGTTCCTTGCTGTGGTCTTCTTGATGTTCAGAAAGAGACTAAAATTCTCACTTTCTTCTTTGATTTTCTTGATCAGATGTTCTCAGCCTTCTTTGGTTTCTGAGAGGAGAGTTGTATCATGAATATTGTTGATGTTTCTTCCACAACTTGTATTCTATTTTTTGATTCTTCAAGCTTCCTCATCATCATTTTGGCACACAGGTTGAATAAGAAAGGGAGAGAATGCCACCTTGACACATCACTTTCTCTATCTTAAACTATTCAGTGTTTTCATATGGTGTTCACACAGTGGCTTCCTGATTTGAATATAGTGAGTGCACCAACTTGACCTGGTACTGGTACACTCAAGTCCTGTAGGGCTCTCCATGGCTTCTCATGATTAAAACAATCAAAGGCTTGTAACTGACGAAACACACGTAAATGATCTTTTGATATTCACAAGATTTCTTCTGTGATCTGCAAATCTTCTATTGTGAAGATTTGCAACATGGGTGTTTGTGCTACGACCCTTTCAGAAGCCAGCTTAGAAATATGGTAATTCCCTTTGGATGGTTCATACTAGATCTTGTTCTATTTTAAGCAAAATCTTGCTGATGTGAAGAATGATCGTAATTATACAATAATTGGAACAATCTTTAGAGTCACCCTTTTTCAGCCATGTGTTGATTTCCTAAATTTTCTGGCACAGGTATCTAATGACTGTGAATGATACAGGGATGGTGTCAACAACTGGAGTCTTGTGGTTTGGCAGTTGGCTCATTGCCTACATGATCTCTTTCTCAGTGATGGTCGGTTCTATTTCAACTTCTCTTTCCTTGTCATAACAAAGTACAAAGGGGCTTTCTGAACCCTCCACAACTGTTCCCAATCAATCTTTCTCAAATTTCTTTTAAGGAGTCTTAAATGAAAGGCCCAAGGAATTTGCACAAACTTTATATGCTTATATGTTTCATTTCCCCGTTTTCCTCATGTCGGAACTTTGTTGATTCCCTTCAGGCTTTCTGAGGTAAAATGGAAAGCTTTAGAATAAAGGGGGTTGTGGAAAATCCATTGCATGAGCAGCTTTTTTCAAGGTACTACTAGTGTCCTCTGTTTTATCTAATTTACAATTGCAGATTCTTCTAATGCTTCACTGATATCAAACAATGATAATAAAGAATGGTTATTACAAAATATTTTCTATTTTGATATTCATGTTTCAAAACTGAAACTGTATATATTATTTTAAATCTTGTGTGCCATAATCATTTTACAATATGTGACCTCTCTGGTACTGAATTGTAGAATTAGAAATATGCAAAAGGTGTCCCTTATCAAATTACTTCCAAGTTTTGCTTTTCTGAAAACTACCAAATCCCAGTAAAAGCATAGAAGAGGAGGAAGTGTAGGAGTCTAGACTAGAGCAGAGGTCCCCAACCTCCAGTTTGTGGACTGTCACTGGACCATGACATGCCAGAAACAGGGTCACACAAAAAAGCAAAACCCCACCTGCAGGATGAAGACAGCACACAAATTATGCGCCCTTTGGTCCATGGAAAAACCTCTCTCCATGGTTGGGCACCATCCCTGGTGCCCAAAAGATTGGGGGCTACTGGACTAGAGTGATATGAAATGTCCCAGAGTTCTCCAGAGCAGTCAATTCCCACATTAATTAATTTTGCACACTGCTTGTTGAATATTTAATCTAACTTTTATTAAATACAGGAGTAAATGTGAAACTGGATCCAACAATAAATTACCCAAGATTTGTAAGTTAATGTTAACTATTACTGTATAATTGGAAGGGGAAAGAGAATGTCTTAATATGGAGAAAATATTGCTTTTGAAGGACTCAAAAATTACTCAAATTAATCAAAATCAGAATCTATAATGAAGTTCTATATAACTGGTTTTTTTCCAAGGAAGAAAATTGACTCATTTATGCTGTACATCTGCAGGGAGGATAGACTGAAGAACTGTTGTTAGAGAATAATGAAGTATGTGTATAATGGATATAAATCTTCTCAACCTGTGGTATTAATTAGGGATTCAACTGTTGTTAATGAACAAGTACATACGTTTCACTATTATTTAAAATAAGTAAACAAAATAAAAAAGCAGCTTTGGGAGACAGCAATAATTAGGAACAGAGATTTAGAAAATCCAGAATTTATATGCTTTGTCTTGTGTGTTCGCTCTCAAGCTCTTTTTCAGATTTGAAGTACTTTGATGTAACTGGAGGAAATCAAGAGAGCAAAAATCACCAGAGGGAAGGAATTTAGCAATATTTCAATCCATTCTTAATCACTGCTTTATTTTTATCATTTTAGTCAACTTATTAAGACTTGCTGGTGCAGTTTCTTTTAATTATTAACTGGAGTGTAAATAAAGCTTTTTATATCTATAAATAAAATATTTCTGTTGTTTTTAGTGAGGAAAAGACTGAACAGTTGCTGGATTGTAAGCAAGAATTTGAACAGAATGAAACTGAATTAAAGCGACTTCAGCAAGAGGTTTGTGAATCATGGGTTAAACTGTTTTGTTGACATGAAATGTACTTGCTTGTGTTTATCAGTTCTATTAATGATACATGTTTCGAACAGTGGGTCTTAATTAAGCAGATTTCAACTAAATAATGGCCATAGGATCTTAAACTTAAAATCATAAAATTACTGGTATTGACCAGTGTATTTGTTATATTCTGGTTTTGTTTTTTAGTTTTAGAAAATTTTCATGTACTATATTTAAACCTTAACAAATCAATTTACATTTAGGAAAGGAGGTATCTGCTGAATGTAGCTTCCATCCACTTTTATTTATATCTTTGGAAGAATTTAGAAAAAAGTGACAATATGTTCTATACACATTCTTTTTGTCTATAATATTTTTCTGTTATATTTTTCCTCATTATCAGAACTAATATAATATCTTAAAAGTAAACATATGATCTCTAAAAGAAAACATTCTAATTTATTAGATATTTGAATTGCCCATTTCAAAGAGCAGATAGTATAGCTAAATGAATAATACATTAAGGAAAACATAATTTTTAACATTATATAAGTATTTAATAATTGCCCATCTTTTTCATCATGTATGAATTTTTATTCATTTATTTGTCATATTTAAGAACCACCCATGTCCCTTACAGGCTTACTGTGGGAATTAGGGTTCTTAGTTATAGAGTTTTGATGAAATGTATTCTATCCGAATAAAATCAATGCTCAAAGATCATTTATGCTCAAGATCATTTATGATCTTGAAAAGATGGTTACAAAAATGAATGCAATGATGTTGTTAGAAAGAAGAATGCTTATACAAATCCAGATATAAATTGTGCTATTTATTGATTTTATATTCTGAATATAAGCTAATGTTTACTAGTTCCCCTTTTCCATGCACACTTATATCTGTGCAATTTTACGTTAATATATAATATTATTCTTGCCTTCTGTACAATCACTTTTTTCATAAACACTAACATATATTTTGTCTTATTTGCTAGAATATGAGTTTACTTTCAGATGCCCGATCTGCCAGAGTGTATCGGGATGAACTTGATGTTCTCAGAGAGAAGGCAATCCGGGTTGACAAGCTTGAAAGTGAACTCAGCCGATATAAAGAAAGGCTACACGATATTGAATTTTACAAGGCTAGAATAGAGGTAATTAACATTTTAAAATATATGTATGTTTATTTTTTTACTGATTATGTTTCTAACATGAATCAAGGTATTATTTTAATATAATTCTGTGTTTGTGCTGATCTTGTTTTATGTTACAGGTCTAAAAAAAATATGCATCCTCTTATTAGTAAAAAAAGGAGGAAGGAAAAATGAAAAAAAATGTAAAAGAAAAGAAAAGCTGAAAAAATGTAGGAAAAACTAGCTTTTCCATTCATTAAGACAAGCATTTTCAGTAATTGAACACCTTCTCTAATATTTTAGTCAAAAGTCTAATTCCATATCTCTTCTATCTATGAGCAGATAGAGCCATGTCATTCAATTTTAATCAGAAAAAGATGATTTTAATGATGGTCTATCAGAAATAACACTGCATATATTTTAACTTTTAAAAAATGAAACACTTTATATTTCCTTCCTTTACAAAGTACCTTATCATTTTCTCAAAAAATACAAAGCAAAAATTTTTTCTTGCCATGTTTTATTTGTTTATTCTGTAAACAAATCTTTTAAAACCTCATCATTTAATCAAGAAAAACTCCATTAGGAGCCAATGAAACATTAAAAATTTTAATCGTTAATTTCTTCAAATGATATCCTACAAATTAATTTATTATCATTTTTTATATTCAATATTAATACTATAGCTTATCACTTTCTTTAAAAAAGCAAGAAAAACTCTTTTCTTCCTAAGTCTTATCTATAAACAAATCTTTAAAGCATTATCATTCATTGCTAGTCAAGGAAAACCTATTAATATCAGAAAAAAAGAATAATATACATTTTACCTTGGTCAAATAAGCTAACATATAAGCTAATAAATAAGATATTGAAGTTTGTACTTTTTAGATAATGTCTCTATTTTTCTCAGGAATTCCTTCATAAATATAACAAATGACTTTGTAAATCCAAAGAAATTTTTCCAAGTCACTTGAGTAAAAATTTCACATATCTAAGTCATCTTAGGTTTATTATTTGTGTTTCCCTTTTAACTATTAAAATCTCAGCCAAGTTCATTTGCAGGTTCCGTATAATTTCTTTGTCATTACAGGTAGTCCTTGACTTACAACAGTTCGTTTAGTGACTGAAGTTACAACGGCACTGAAAAAAGTTACTTAAGACTGTTTTCCACACTTATGACCTTTGTGACATCGTCATGATAAACATTCAGGCACATGAAAACTGATTCATATTTGTGATGGTTACAATGTCCTGGGATCATTTGATCCTGTTGCAATCTTCTTACAAGCAAAGTCAATGGGAAAGCTATTAACATAACAAGTGCAGTGATGCACTTAACAAACTGTGGCAAGAAAGGTCATAAAATGGGATAAAGTTCATTTAACAAATGTCTCACTTAGAACAGAAATTTTAGGCTCAATTGTGGTCGTAAGTGAAAGATTACCTATATTATTGTTGGGTCCTATCAATTTTAAACCAATAATCAAAACAGTTATTTCCTCTTCTGTCCCTTTTAAGCTCATTTTTATTATATAAAATAGTCTAAAGGGAAAGTTCTGGGTATGTTGTTGTCAGATATTCTTGAATTCTTCCAGAGTTAAAATATTTTTCTCCATTCTATATTAGTGACTCTTCTCCTTTTTTATAATCCTTAACTATTTCTGGTGATATCTATTAACCAGCCTTCAAGGTCTTATCATGCTTTTCTCTCATCAGCACATTTTTCCCAGGGAGAGATTTCTTGCATTTAAACTAAAAATCTTCATATATATTAATAATACTTTAAACAAACTACAGGATGCTGTCTTATAAATATTTTAAAATCTTATTTTCAGGTACCTTAGTCTTTTCAAAAGCATTCCAAAGTTAACATTCTAATCACCCTTTTGCTGCTTATTCCAAATAAAAAAGCTCTTCTTTAAGTTTTAAGCTTACATAAAACATTTTTCACTGCAGACTGATGGGAAATCATTGTTATAATGAAACTTGTCCTTATGAAGGATCTTCATATCCAAAAAGCAATTTACAAGCCATTTCCAGTAAAGGTGATTAAGATAAGAAGTGGAGAAATCTAGCATCCTTTTGAAGGCTCCAAACCACTGCTTGGATAGAGTTGACTCTCATGGCTTCCAAAACCTGCTGGAAACCATAGTTTTACAGTCTCATCACAAGGAGCACCTATAAGGAGCATTCTGGGCAATCCCAAATTCTCCTCTTAATCTGGAGAGAAGTTCACGAAGTCAATTCATTCACTCACTCCATTTTCTGCCACAGTCATCAACTCTACTAAAAATGTAGTGGTTTTCAGTCCACCATTACTTCCCCAGAGGTCAAGTATAAATCAGATTTCAAAGGGTATTGTTAATATACTATGCATTTAAAGCAAGAAATATTTTGTTCCTTTGTTCTGTAGTTATTATCAGTTACTTTCCACATTTCCCTATTTATTTTACTTGTGGGAATTTTGGAGTTCAATTTTTAAATATGGTTCTCTAAAATTCAAAAAGTGTTGGATTAGTTTTGCATCTAGATTTAGAATAATGTCCTTAGTATTTTATTCTGTCACATGTATTTTTCTTAAATAGTTACATTAATTTATGTAAAATATAACATAGGTTTTTTTTTTGCTTGATTGTGCCATTTTATTGTTTTTACTATTTTGTTTCTTATTTGATTGTCAGTTTCATATTTTTCACTTATTACTGTAGGAGTTAAAAGAAGATAATCAAGTATTACTGGAAACAAAGACAATGTTGGAAGATCAGTTAGAGGGAACCCGAGCCCGTTCTGATAAATTGCATGAATTGGAAAAGGAGAATCTGCAATTAAAAGCTAAACTCCACGATATGGAGATGGTAAGCATACAGGATGGGATAGAAAAAGTTACTTTTTAGAATAAAATTACAGCTAGTCTTCAATTGCCAATGGTAATTGGGACTGGGAACTCCATCACTAAGCAATGGAGTCATAAGGCATGCCATCATTGACCACACCAACTTATGACATCAGTTCCCATAGTTCCCAAAGCTAATGGTAAAACTAAGTTAACAACTGCAGTGATTCACTTAACAATTGTGGCAAGAAAAGTTGTAAAATGGAACAAAACTCACTTAACAAATGTCTCAACATAAATTTTGGGCTCCATTGTGGTCTTAAGTTGAGAACTATCTGTATAAGCATTGTATGCATGCATTAGATTTAATTATGTTGTTTTTGTGCTGCCAATAACTTATTGTAGTTTCACTAATAAAGTTGAAGAATCAAGCAGTAGCATTAGGCTAAAATTTGGTTACTGAAACATATGTGATTGCCTTTTGAGAGGAGGTTTTAAAGAAAGCTTATATGAAACTATTTTTTAAGGAACGTGATATGGATCGGAAGAAAATTGAGGAACTTATGGAGGAAAATATGTCACTAGAAATGGCTCAGAAGCAAAGTATGGATGAATCACTACATTTAGGCTGGGAACTTGAACAGATAAACAGATCATCAGAAATTTCCGAAGGTAGCTAAAGTTATACTTATTTGTTGTCCAACTAGTATATGAGCAGTTTAACATTCAAATTCTTTAAAGACTGTTTCAAATATTTCTCAATTTTCCTTCAAGGAACTTAAATACATGGTTATTTGAAAAAAGTAATATCCAGACTGGTTCGTTCAGAGGAATACTTGCTGCCTGCTAATTTTGATTGTTATTAGCATTTTTTATTTTATTTATTTTTATTACTATTATTGTTATTGTTGTTGTTTTTATTATTATTATTATATAATTGTATCACAGCGGCCAGTTGTTTCGCCGGATTTGGCATTGGTTACTAGTCGGGCCCCACCCAGGGGCCTAGGACGTCATAATGTATTTTCGTAATATGCGTGCAGATCCAAGCAGTGTGGCTTTTTGCATTTGACTGATGGTGATTTGGTCGATTTTTAACTGTTTTAAATGTAATTCCAGTGCTTTTGGAATAGCACCCAGTGTGCCAATTACCACTGGAATTACCACTGCTGGTTTGTGCCATAGTCGTTGAATTTCAATTTTTAAGTCCTGGTATTTTGCGATTTTTTCATGTTCCTTCTCAGCGACCCTGCTATCACCTGGTATTGCGATGTCTATGATTGTGACCTTATTTTTCTCAACCAGTGTGATGTCTGGTGTATTATGCGCCAGTATTTTGTCCGTTTGTATGCGAAAATCCCACAAGATCTTGACCATCTGATTTTCGGTGACTTTTTCAGGCTGATGTTCCCACCAGTTTGTTGCTGTTTTAATATTATAATTTTTGCACAAATTCCAATGGATCAATTGTGCTACTGAATTGTGCCGCAATTTATAATCAGTCGGCGCGATTTTTTTACAGCAGCTGAGTATGTGATCAACAGTTTCATCAGCTTCTTTGCAAAGTCTGCATTTGGCATCATCAGAGGATTTTTCGATTTTGGCCTTAATGGCATTGGTGCGGATAGCTTGTTCTTGCGCAGCCAGGATTAGTGACTCTGTTTCTTTCTTTAATGTACCTGTTGTTAACCATAACCAAGTTTGTTCACTGTCCACTTTATCTTTTATTTTTTCCAGAAATTGGCCATGCAGTGCTTTGTTCTGCCAACTCTCCATTCTTGATTTTATCACATCTTTTCTGTATTCTTGTTTCGTCTGTTGGGCCTTCAGTAGATTTTTGTTCTTTACTTCAATTAATAGATGTTCTTGACTTTCTTTTAAATAATCAGCCAGTGCATGTTTTTCTTCTTCAACTGTTTGCTTCATTATTATTATTATTATATGTCCTAGGCCCCTGGGTGGGGCCCGACTAGTAACCAATGCCAAATCCGGCGAAACAACTGGCCGCTGCGATACAATTATTATTATTATTATTATTATTATTATTATTATTATTATTATTATTATTATTATTTTATTTTTTTTTAAATGTTTGTATCTGCCCATCTTGAAAAAATGCCTCTAAATAATATTTTTTCAAATGTGGAATGCAATGGAATCCAAGAAAGTGGATGTATGCAATCTCACAGCAAATGAAATGAAGTATCCAATTGTACATTATTGATTTTGTTTAGATTGTAAAGTTATTTTTTAAAATACTTTATGCATATTAATATTTGTTATTCAGGATAATCTTCATAATTATATTTTTATTAATAAAAAGTCGTGATGCTTGGGCCATACTACTGAGGCTCAATTTCAGGTTGCAAAAACATTTATTAAAGTAATTATTTAGGTTTAGTATTTATATTAGTTTTTGAAAAAAGTAAACAGTAGCTGAAGCTCTGTTCTTTATACAGCTCTGTCCTTTTCCAATTATATATAAGTTTAGATAACAACTTATTCTTTTTATCTTCCATTTTAATTCAACAGTGCCACAGAAATCACTTGGTCATGAAGTGAATGAACTAACATCAAGTAGATTATTAAAACTAGAAATGGAAAACCAAACTTTATTAAAAACAGTAGAAGAATTACAACATGCAATGGGTTCTGTAGAAGGCAATAACTCAAAACTAATGAAAATGGAAAGAGAAAATCAAAGGCTAAATAAAAAGGTATCAGTTATTTTATGATTCTGTTAGAAAGATATTATATACACGTAATACTCTATAAATTTAGCTTTTGTTAATATATCCAAAGGACAATGCTGTTCCCTTACACTTAACTGCCTGTTGCTGTTTCTGTTTATTCTATTGTGTATAACAATACTCTAGTCAGTAGAAATCTGGTCAATTTTACTGGATGTCTTAGTGGAATAATATTTCATTTTTGCGGGGGAGGGATTTTAGTATCAATTCTTTTGTAAGTAAATAGCATTCATTAGGACTTTCGATTAATATATAATTTTGCAGAGAAAATAGAGAAGGAAGAGAACACAAGGGTGGGCAGGTGAATGAATGAAAGTGAAGCTAAGTAACAATATGTGTAAATATGTTGTGATAGAGATTTATGAGGACTGAATACAAAGAAGGCTGCAAAGTGAATTTCTTTTATTAAAATTTCATTTCTGATAGAATTTTGATATAGGAAAATATTATTTAATCTGTTCCTTCAAAGCTATATGCTTTCACTTCAAAATTTAAATTTAATTAATTTCCTTACAGCTGGAAGGACTGAAGAATGAATTTATTGAAGAGAAACAAAGTCACCAGAGTAGTCAAAATCTTTGCAAAGATCTCATGAAAGAGAAAGCACAGCTTGAAAAAACAATTGAAACTTTGAGAGAAAATTCAGAGAGACAGGTACATAATATACACAGATATTTGTTTTATTGAGGTTTGTGCATTTAAATAATAAGGATTATATTCTCTGGAATTTTGATAAAATGTTCTTAATCTAACAGAAACTGTCATAAGTAGAAGAGAATGGTTTTTGTACAACTTCTTTTCTGTATAATATCAGCAATCAACAACATTCTATATTTTCAGAATTCAACAACAACAACAAATATTGTCCCCTAAACTTCACAATATTTCAAAATCTTCTAAGATTGTGCAAACTCATTCTGAAATGTCATGAATAATTAGAATTCTTCCTTGACTTTTCTTTCATGTTTTAAAAAAATTAAATCCTTAAAATAATTTGAGAGAGCTTCGGACTGCAATCCTATATGCTATAGTTTCAAGAAATCAGCAGATATTTCATTGGTTTTAGATTTCTACAGCAATATTAATCATATATTTTAGAATATATTATATAAATAAATGAATATTGATCTAGTTTTCCTACTGTGGTTTTTATATGAATAGTTTTAATTTCTTTTTATTATTTATATGTCTTTGTGTTTAAATCTCAAATTGTCAGTTTCCTGAGAACTAGCCTTTTCCATAGGGTACAAAAGAAGGCAAGAGACAGAAACCATATGCATTAATGATTAGCCTTTCAGTGAGCCGGCAACCCTTCTCTTTGATATCAGATTAACTAGAATACATGTATATTCCTTGAAGAAACAGATGATTCCATTTGTTCTAAAGTGGGAAGGAATCTGTCCAGAAAATTTGCTCACTATCCCTAAAGTGTGTGACTGTTGGGTTTTTATTCAAACAGAATAGTTCAAGCCTTTTTTCTTGACTAATTCAAGAAATAATTTGATTTGATAATAATGTTTTTATCCAGATTTTTTCTTTTTTTCTTTTTTGTTAAAGTGTAAAGAGTTAAAGACTAAGCCAAACTCTTACAATCTTTGATCAAAATGTCCTCCTTCCAATGTTTTAGCTCTCTGACACTAGTTTCTTTCTTTATGAAAGAAAACCTTCCTGTTGATGAAACTGATAAAATGCTTAAGATAGAACTCCACTAGTTTCTTGAAATGCCTGCCCTCTACAGATTTGAAAATGAGATGTTTGAATTGAAATAGGTATAGAGTGATAAAATAATATATCTGCCTCACTGCAGGTCAAAACTTAGTTTTATAATTTAGACTGTAAAATGCACCCTTTCAAATCTTAACTCTTAGAACTCTTATATTATCTAAATACAAAATACCCATGGCTGATTTAAACTTGTATTTTTTATTTCAATGAATTAGATTAAAATCCTGGAACAGGAAATTGAACACTTGAATCAAACTGTAACTTCACTTCGACAGCGTTCACAAATCAGTGCTGAAGCAAGAGTAAAAGATATTGAGAAGGAAAATAAAATTCTCCATGAATCTATCAAGGAGACAAGCAGCAAACTAAGTAAAATAGAATTTGAAAAAAAGCAAATGAAAAAAGAGTTAGAACATTATAAAGAAAGGGAAGAAAGAGTGGATGAGCTGGAGAAAGAAGTTCATCATCTTGAAAAAGAAAATGAACTATTACAAAAAAGAATTACTAACTTAAAAATTACATGTGAAAAAATTGATTCTTTAGAACAAGAGAATTCCAGTCTAGATGTTGAAAACAGAAAGCTGAAAAAGACTTTAGACAGCCTGAAAAATCTCAGCTTTCAATTAGAGTCCTTAGAGAAAGAGAATGCACAACTTGATGAAGAAAACTTAGAACTCAGAAGATCTGTTGAATCTTTGAAGAGTACCAACATCAAGATGGCTCAATTAGAACTAGAAAATAAAGAACTAGAAAGTGAGAAAGGCCAGCTACAGAAGAGCCTGGATCTTATGAAAACATCTTTTAAAAAGACAGAACGTTTAGAAGTGAGTTATCAAGGCTTGGATACAGAAAATCAAAGGTTGCAGAAAACCCTAGAAAACAATAACAAAAAGATTCAACATCTAGAAAGTGAATTACAAGAACTGGAGTCAGAAAATCAAACCCTGCAAAAAAATCTTGAGGAACTCAAAATCTCCAGTAAACGTTTAGAAAAATTAGAAAAAGAGAATAAACTTTTGGAGCAAGAGACAACCCAGCTAGAAAAAGATAAGAAACAGCTAGAGAAAGAGAATAAAAGACTCAGGCAGCAAGCAGATATTATGGATAGCACACTAGAAGAAAATAATGTGAAAATAGGTCACCTGGAAAAAGAGAACAAGTCACTCTTTAAAGAAATTGGTTTATGTAAAGAAGCATCTATTCGTCTAAAAGAAGCGGAAAAGGAAAATAAAGAGCTTGTAAAAAGAGCTACTATTGACAAAAAAACACTTGTCACATTACGTGAGGTAATGTTCATTATTGCATGATATGCTCTCATAAACAGGAATGTAGCTGTAATGTGTTAGTTATATATCAATGTTATTTCCACAATAATTTACTAATCAGAAATTATTTGTATTTTAATTTATTTAGACTGAATGTTAAAAGCTCTTTATAAACTCAGATTCAGAAATATTGTGTAGATGTTTTAAGACACTAAGTTTGTACTATTTTATGAGCTTCCGTATAATATGTAAATCAGAATCATTTTATTTATTTTTTTCTTTAGTTAGATCTGTCAATTCTCCGAGTACTTGCACTTTGGTTCTTTCCACACCATAGCTTCATATTGCTATTGGGCGTTTCTTGAAAGGATTTTTTAAATGGAATAAATTGACACTTAACTACATTTCTTTCATATAACAATCACTTTCTCCAAGGCTATATTGTGACATATATAAGTTGTCTCCCTTCAAAATTAAGTAATAGCTTCTTCCTTGCTTTTTCAGGTTCTTATTGTTTCCTAACATTGTGCACTTAGTTAATTGACAAAGAGGATATGCAACTTTGCTTTATCCTGAAGTCACAGCTATTTTGCTATAAAACAACAGTAGGAACAGTGAAAATTATACTGTAATCTATTCTGATCGACATTACAAAAAAGCTACTTAATTGTGAGACCAATCAAACATCATCCTGCTGTGTTAATAAAAAGAAATAATGGAGTCAGTTTTTTTTAAACAACATATTGAATTAAACACAGTGGTATTAGAAAACCATACTTGTAATTTGTTTGTCCATAGTGAACAGAATCGTCGTCGTTGTTCAGTTGCTAAGTTGAACCAGACTCTTTACAACCCTATAGACCATAACATGCCACACACACACCATTGTCACCCAATGTTTGCCCAAATTCATATTCATTGCTTCAATGACACTATCTAATCATCTCATCCTCTGCTATCCCCTTCTCCTTTTGCCTACAATATTTCCCAACATCAGAGTCTTTTCCAATAAAAGAGAGTGGGAGGGAGGGAGAGAGAGAATTGAAGGTGGTTTGAAAGACAGTTATCTCTTTTCTGTATCCATCTTGTTTTGTTTACACTAAACAAATTTGACAGATTTTGTACATTTGTAAAACAAATGTGAGTTGTATAGGAACCTTTCTAGGAATCACTTTCTGAAAATCTCTGTCTCTTGTTATATATTATAGCAAACATTTGTTCAATCAATTCTTTTGTTTTAAGGATTTGGTGAATGAAAAACTGAAGACACAGCAGATGAATAATGACTTAGAAAAACTTACACATGAACTTGAAAAGATAGGTTTAAACAAGGAACGTCTCTTACATGATGAGCAGAGTACTGATGACAGGTATGAATATGTAAAAGACATTCTGGATTAGATTGATGGAAACTCTTCAAGATATTTTTCCCGTGTTGTTTTTTTAAGGATCTATTACTCACATATCTTTCAGAAAATAGGCACTTCTTTCAGTCTCCTAGTCAGATTTTTATTATAAGAAATGCTGTACATTAATAAAGAAATGAAGTTTCTCTGTGGTGTTTGTGCAAGGGTAATGAAAAATGTATCACATTTTTTAAAATGGTGATGGTTTTAGAAATTTAGATTCTGGAGCGTAGTAATAAGAAAACTGTTTTCAGTTCAGTTTCAGGCAAAAGAAGCACAACCTCTGAAAATAATTTGATTATCCTTAGCTTGCTATATCTGCAAATGTAATATTTGTATGGTATATCCTTTGCTTGAAGGATATACCTGTGAAAATGGGGGAAAGGTGGTTAAGAAAGGCAGAATTTCAGCTTCTCACTACTGTATTTTTTGGAGTGTAAGAAAATGGGCCAGTTTTTGCTTAATTTTGTCCTCCCCCCCCAGCCCCCAGGAGCCACCTGAAAGCTAATCATGCCTTTTTTTTAAAATGACACGGGCCTGTTTTCATGAAAAACGGGCCGTTTTTGGGAGGTCTGGAGAATGCAAAAACTTTTTTAAAAAATTTGCCTATTCAAAATCTTGGTGCGTCTTATACTCTGGTGCATCTTATACTCCGAAAAATACAGTACTTCTGTCAATTGAGAGTAATAATTGGTCCTGCAGTCGGTTATTACCAGCAATTAATATATAGTATATATGTTTAGTATATTTTATCTCTAAGTTAAATGACTTTATATTTTATATTTTGCAACAAGTTTTCAATATGCAGTCTTAAGGAACATACCAGTGGTTTTCCTATTTTAAAATATATCTTCTGTTATTTGATCCATCCATAGCTCTTAACAACTATAGAATTAGATCAGAGTTAGAAGTATGGGGGAAGCAAATTTAGCGATTGGATCAGAAGAGGAATAAAGTGGAATGAAGAAATTTATTTAATACTGAATGTTTTATATTGTCAGGTTAAATAGGATCCATGCTAATATGAAATTTTAGATGTTTTTCCTCCAAGTGTAATTACAGTGTATTGTTTAGAAGAATAGAAGACAATTTACTAACATTGAAATAGTTTTATGGTAGTTAAGACATTTGTGCCATGGTTGCATTTTTTACAATGTATCAACTTTTTAAATTCTGGAACGTATATACACCAACAAATATCATAAAACAATTGTTGCCTTTAAAACAAACAAAATTACAGTAATCAAACTGTAATGCAAAATATGGTACAAAAAAGGCCAACAATACTAAAACCAGAGCAGATTAAAAGCTGTTTCAATTTATTTTACTACCGGTTCTCTCGTGTGACACTTCTGTGCATGTGCAGAAGTGTCCGGGCGTGTGGGTGGAGCCTCCCATCACTGCTACTCCCGGGGCAAGGTACTCTGGGGCAAACCGGCAGAAATCCATCTCTGCTGTGGAATATGAAATATGAAAATAGGTATTCATATTTCTTTAACACTGGGACTGTGACTAAAAAAATTCTTGACCCTACTAGATTCAGGTCTAGCTTTGAACATATGCCCACTCTTGACATGTGGGAACAGTGTTTTTTCCCCACACATATAAATGTTCCAAAACTGTCAGTTTAGCATTTTCAAATTCACTAAGTTGACATAAAGGTTATGAATGATTAAAAGTGAATTACTGATAATGAGAACTTCATTAAAATTGTTTCATTAAACAGTAAGTACAAACTTTTGGAGTCAAGGTTAGAGTCCACACTGAAGAAATCACTTGAAATAAAAGAAGAAAAAATTGCTGCTTTGGAAGCTCGTTTAGAAGAATCAACAAATCTCAATCGACAGCTGCGCCAAGAGCTTAAAATAGTAAGTTAAGACGTGTTCCCATCTTGTGATATAATAACACCAACTTATTTTTAAATTCATAAAAAGTTTATACTTATTAAACTGCAAATCCATAAATTTAAAATGTCTATTTGCAAACACTGCTAATTTGAAAGCAAGAGTTGTTAAAATACAGTTTTCACAACCTGTATTGTTCCACCATTAAACTCTTCATTTTTTTCAGAATAGGAAAGGGGGAATAGCTGTTAAGTCTTAGCTCACTAGAATACCTTTCACTATATTCTTTCTGCCTCTCTTGCAAGGGTTTCACTCCACTTGATTGACTCTGCCAATTACTCTAAAATGGATGGGTAGTATTAATTTTTGCATCATGCTATTTCTAATACTATATATAATATATTAGTATATTAGTATTATACCATATATAATATATAGTATACTAATATTAATTCTTGAATGTTATAGATCATTTAAAATATAGTTTAAAAGTTATTGAGTCATAAGAATATTTAGATGTATAGTTCTTTTGTGTGCTTGAAAGCCAAATTCTATATCTTTGTTCAGTAGAGCTTACTCCAAATAGTGGGTATAGGATTGTAGTCTGGACATGCATTAATCTGTATGGTACTTGATGAATCATAAATGAAATAATGGAATAATTAACAATGCAATCATTAGAAAAAATCATGATATGGGCTAAATAAATACTAAATAGTTGCATACAGTATTTTCTGCAACAATAAGTAGTGTCAAGAAGTGTTAAATCTTATTCTCAACATTTCTATAATAATGTGACAGATCTCGAGAGCAGGTTGTTATTTGCATTTTTATCCTGTTTATTTTTGCAGTTCACAGCAAAAAGGCTGTTATAGAAATAAAGACAATTAATAATTGTCCTGCTGCCTTAATAGTGATCATATTATTGGACTAGAATTGGGGAGATCTAGGTTCAAATCTCCGTTCAATTAGTTTACCCTGACTTACAACCTAACCTTTAACTGGCTTTTATGAAGTGTGTGTATATACATATACATACATATACATACATATACATACATACATACATACATATATATACATATATATACATATATATATATATATATATATATATATATATATATATATATATATATATATATATATATATATATATATATATATATATATATATATATATATATATATATATATATATATATATATATATATATACATATACATATACATACATACATACATACACACACACACTTTTCAAGGCAAAATAGAGTAGAAATGTAGAATTTTTATATTAAAATTTGAACTAATTTATCTTTAGGTAAAAAAGAATTATGAAGCCCTCAAGCAAAGACAAGAGGAGGAGAAAATGGTACAGAGTTATTCTTCAAAACTTGATGAAGAAAGTCATCCTGTCACTAAATGGGAAAGAGATAATCAGGAAACTACTAGAGAACTTTTGAAGGTTAAAGATAGATTAATTGAAGTTGAAAGAAATGTAAGTATATCATTTGCTTTACTAGAAACTGCTAAACATTTCATGGTTTTGGTGAATCTTACACAGGTGATATGTTTGTAGAGACTACACATAAGACTTTTCTAGAGCTATGTGGGCTTTGTTTAATTTGTTTTTAGTTAGATGCAGGCCTGTAGTTTGCATGCCCAAGCATGGTTCCCTCCTGTTCTTCCACTTTCCTTTTGACTACTGCATAGACAGTATGTGTTCCTCTGATTTTTTTCCCCTCCAGATTCACCAGTCTTTCCTCTATGTTACAGCCTTTCGCATTTCTCACTCTTTATAAATTCTCAGGAGTTATTCCAGCAGATTAGTCAATCTGCAATTCTTTCCTTCTCTTCTCTAGCGAGTAGTAACCATCTTTATCATATTATAGTCCAAAATGAAGAAACATAAAAAAGAAGAAATTTATTTTTCTTCTTTCTTCAGAATTCTGCAGTCCATGCCCTTTCACAATCATCCTTTTTTGTCTTTAAAAGAGTCCATCAATCATTTTCTTAGGAGAACCCAAGCAAAACACTTCCCAATGGAAGTAGGTAGTATTTAATTTAATTTAAATTTAATTAATTTAAAGAAACATAGTACTCTATAAACAAAGTCCATCAAAATACCTCTGATACCTTTGTCCATTAAAAAAAATAATCCAAACTCTTAATTTTGCTTTATGCTACAAATTAATTTTTTTATTCTCGTAGTTTTCTTCCCCCTTCCCTCCCGCCCAGTTACCACTGGCCATATGAATGTTGACCGGTAGTTCAATAAAAGTGGTGCTTCAAAGATCACTTAATAGCCTTTAAATAATTATAGTCAAAGTGCCTTAGAAAGTGGGATTTGGTCAAACTCAGTGTCAGTTAAAGGCTCCCCTGAGACTTCAAGCTTTATGTTCCTTTCCTAATCTCTCAGCATTACTCAAGAGGTTCCTTGCAGAGTTGGTCTCGGTCCTGCAGGCCTCCTAGTGAGAAGTAGCCTTACTGAGCATACAGTCTCTTCATCTGTTCTGATCCAGAGAAGATCTGCTGGCCAGGAAAAAAAGACTGCAGAACTGTTGCCAAGACTAGAAGAGGCTGGTTGCAGTTCCAGCTTTGTCAGCATTTCTGCACTTTTTTTTCTTCTAGAATAACAGAGTCGGAAGGGATCTTAGAGGTCTTCTAGTTTAAAACCCTGCTCAAGCAGGAGACCCTACACCATTTCAGGTAGATGGTTGTCCAATCTCTTCTTTAAAACCTCCAGTGTTGGGCCACTCATAACTTCTGGAAGAAAGTCATTTCTCCAATTAATTGTTCTAATTATCAATAAATTTCTCCTTAGTTCTAAGGTTGGTTCTGTCCTTGATTAGTTTCCATCCATTCAATTGTGTCTGATTTTCAGAGACTGCCCAGACCAGTCCCTGTAGTTTTGTGGCAAAGTTTTTCACAAGTGGTTTGCCATTACCTTCAATAGCAATAGCAATAGCAATAGCAGTAGACTTATATACCGCTTCATAGGCCTTTCAGGCCTCTCTAAGCGGTTTACAGAGAGTCAGCATA